TGGGCAAAATCTCTGGTGGCCGGCTGAGGGACCGGCAGCGGGACAGAGTCTCAGGTGGCTGGCCGAGGGACCGGCAGCGGGACAGAGTCTCAGGTGGCCGGCCGAGGGACCGGCAGCAGGACACAGTCCCAGGAGGGCTGCCGTGGGACCGGCAGCAGGACACAGTCCCAGGAGGGCTGCCGTGGGACCGGCAGCAGGACACAGTCTCGGGTGGCCTACCGTGGGGCCGGCTGCAGGACACAGTCTCAGGTGGCCTGCCGTAGGGCCAGCTGCAGGACACAGTCTCAGGTAGCCTGCCGAGGGGCCGGCAACGGAGGCATAGAAGCTGCTCAGGAAGCCGACCACGGGGCTGGGAACAAAGCAGCGTCTTAGGAGGACCACCGCCGGGCCGGAGGCATGGCAGAGGTTCAGGAGGCCGGCCTATGATCCGGCAACGGAGCAGAGTCTTAGGTGGCCGGCAGCGGGGTCGAAGGCGACGCTGACACTCTGGGGGTCTGCCACGGGGGCGGCGATGAAGATGATGCTCCGGGGTTCTGCCGTGGGACCGGAGGCGAAGCTGACGCTCAGGAGGTCCACCACGGGGCCGAAGGTGAAGCTGACGCTCAGGAGGTCTGCCGCGGGGCCGAAGGCGAAGAACCTTCTCAGGAGGAAGACGCCCAAACTTCAGCAGGTACCCCCACGGGGTACCCCGTCCCCTCCTCGGCAGCTCAGGCTCTGTAGCGACCGCCGACTGGGGCTCAGGAGGAGGCTCTGAGGAGACCGCCGAGTGTGGCTCTGGTGGAGGTTCTGGGGAGACCGTCGAGTGCGGCTCTGGAGGAAGTTCTGAAGAGACCGCCGACTGCGGCTCTGGAGGAGGCTCTGAAGAGGCCGCCGACTGCTGCTCTGGAGGAGGCTCTGAAGAGGCCGCCGACTGCGGCTCTGGAACAGGGTCTGGAGCAGGGGAGCCCGCCGATTGCGGCTCTGGAGCAGGGGAGCCCGCCGATTGCGGCTCTGGAGCAGGGGAGCCCGCCGATTGCGGCTCCCAATCAGGAACAGGGGAGCCCGCCGATTGCGGCTCCCGATCAGGAACAGGGGAGCCCGCCGATTGCGGCTCCCGATCAGGAACAGGGGAGCCCGCCGATTGCGGCTCCCGATCAGGAACAGGGGAGCCAGCCGATTGCGGCTCCAGATCAGGAACAGGGGAGCCCGCCGACAGTGGCTCCAACGCAGGAACATGCGAACCCTCTGACTGAGGATCCGCCTCAGGAACTGGGGAGGTCACCGACTGTGGCTCCACCTCAGGAACAGGAAACACCACCGACTGTGGTTCAGCCTCAGGGGCAGGTGACACCACCGACTGTGGTTCACCCTCAGGAGCAGGTGGGACCACCGACTGTGGTTCACCCTCAGGAGCAGGTGGGACCACCGACTGTGGTTCCACCTCTGGAACTGGAGGGAACGTCCAAGGAGGCTCAAGTTCAGTCTCTGAGGAGGCGTGAGGCGTCTGTAGAGAGCTCTTGGCGACTTGTGGCCTTTGCTGAGGGGCTCCTGGAGGCATACCATCACCAATACCACTCTCTGAAGCCCTCTTAAGTGTATGCTCAGGGGTCTCTGGACCGCACAGGGCAGGCTCAGGGGTCTCTGGACAGCCCAGGGCAGGCTCAGGGGTCTCTGGACGGCACAGGGCAGGCTCAGGGGTCTCTGGATGGCACGGAGCTGACTCAGGGGTCTCTAGACGGCACAGAGCTGACCCAGGGGTCTCTAGACGGCACAGAGCTGGCTTAGGGCGACGCCGTTTCCTACGCCGAGGGGTTTTAGGAGCTAGGCTAGCCGGTTTATTGATTGAATCTAGCGATGAATTAACCGGTTGAAAAATATGAATACCGGAGTGAATAACAGGATCTAAGGCTAAAGAGTCAGGCATGGGGTCTGGCTCAAAACTAACTGGTTCAGGCTGGCGGGGAGCTGAATGTGGTGGCACGAAAGGGTAGATATCCTCTCTATCCCCATAGAAAAACTCCCAAAGGTCATCCTCATGGATGTAGGGATCACGGTAAACGGGTGAGAGGACAGGTCTAGATTCCACGGTGACGGGTGCAGGAGTATGATCAGGCTGGCGGGGAACTCTAACAGTCTGACGTGAAATAGGTGGGCCAATCTGGAGTCTTTTAACGGATGGAGTTAAATGATGGTCTAGAATATGTGAACTGAGACTAACCCGGCGCGGAGAGGAACTAAAACTGGTGTGTGAAGCTAAGTCTAATCCAATGGCTAATTCAATGAGGTCCTCTAGGGTAGCTGGCTCGACGTAAAAAGAAAGGTCCTTTCTGATGGAACTGTTTAAAGCCATGAGAAAAGCGGACTTGAGCGCAGACTCGTTCCACCCGGAAACGGTTGCTCTAACCTGGAACTCCATAGAAAACTCAGCTACGGACCTATTACCCTGTTTAATATTCAGAAGCTCACCAGAAACTGAACACATAGTGACCCTACAAAAGGCTTTTTCAAACTCCAGGATGAAACTCTGATATGTACAACTCTTTTTAGATTTTAGCTGAAAACTTGACTCCGCCCATTCAAGGGCTTCACCAGACAAAAATGAAACAACAAAAGCAATCTTATCCTGATCAGTAGGAAAACTAGAAGTATGAAAACCAAAAAATAACTGACACTGAAATAAAAATCCCTTGAGCTTACGTGGGTTACCTGAAAATCTCTCAGGCAGAGATGGACCAGGTGACGAAAACGACGGGTAGAGTTCAGACCAGAAAGGAAGGGTATCATCTTGACTAGGAGATGACGTCACCACCGGAGAACCAGGAAGCGGAAGAGTATTCGGGGCAGGACGAGCCGCTGACGTGGCGTTATCATTGTAGAAGTGGCTAGCGAATGTTTGTTTTAACAATAACTCATGGACGGGTTGTGAGTGATCAAGTGTCTGAGCGTCCTGTTTCTCAGTCCAACGACGGAGGTGATCTGCTGGGCTTTGTGTTTGACCGCAGTGTTCTGTCATGATGGGTAAACGGAAGCAAGCCCAAGATGCAGAACACACACGGAGACTCAGGAAAAAGTCCAAATAGTTTATTAAAGGCACAAGCACATGAATCACAGTTCAGGCAGGGGACTGATTCGCTGGGGTCTGTGCGGGGAAAGGGAGATGGCTGGATTTGAGCTTCCAGCTCACTGCAGGGAAACAACAGGGGAAATCCACATGGGAACCTCTTAGGGAAACTCCACAGGGAAGTCGACAGGTAGCATCCACGTGGACTCTTTGGGTTGGCTC